TTATAATTAAATATGTTTTAATCCCCTTTATCTCATATATTTTGTTAGTTAAAATCTGCTTATATAAATCAGATGTTTCTCTCTGGCATATTAAACATTAAATAATGGAAAAAGATCAACACTTGGGGCAAAATTTAGCACAAAAATGAGGGATGAGGGGGCTTTATTTGTGTTGGGGGGAAATCCTGACTTGATTTAAATAATTGAATTAGGGTTTAACTGAATAATGTTTATATTTGGGTGATTTATTTAATGTCACATTTAATTCTTCACCTCTTTCCTTAAGGCTCAAGATGAGACAGTTTAAAATTTGAGACATTCATGTTTGCCAATACAATAATATTCAACAGGCAACACTCAGTCCCATTATTCCTCCCTGCCTGTATTTCTCCTCCAACACATGCAAGTAAGTATCCAATTCCTCTCAATCTTAGTGAACAATTCCCCTCTCTCTGAAGGCCTAAATTCCTTTTCTACTATATTTGGTAAAGGTACAAAAATCTTTCTTCCCCTTCAGTTTGTGTTCATTATTTGGCCACAGGGGCAGTCTAAATTCTGCTACAATCTTCTTCCCCCAAATAATCCCCTTTTTAATTATTTTTCTCTGTGGTGCCTTCTTTCCCTCCTATTGTCTTCCATAAAAGGTTATTTTTGGGAACTCTCTCTGATCTTGGCCCCCTCCCCATGTGTATAATGACTTTAAATTCGTTGGAATAATCTTCCCTCTCTCTTTCTAGCTTGCCCTCCATCTCCCATTATGTTGGAGCCTAGAGAGGCTGTATTCGGGGCGGGAAGATACTTCAATTCCTGTTCCAAACACATGTATAACCCCTTTAAACTCCTTGGAACTATTTCAGCCTGCAGGGGTTAAACTGCTATTTAAGCACCACGGGCTATCCCAAATATTGCAATCTCTACATGCCATTCCAGGTATTGAAACACGTGTTTTGGATTTTTTGGGGGTTTTTTTTTTGTTTGTTTGTTTGTTTGTTTGTTTAGTTTCTCAACATACTATTCGGGGACATAGTGGGTCTGCCTTAAACTGTGCCGATTCCACGTGTTCACTTTCAACTCATGTGAGCACCCCCCGCCACTGCATCTGCAGACCTGGCTCATCGGATCCCACCCCCACAGATTTTATAGGCTACTAATATACTGCTTGGGGCTATGACAGGAGCACCCCCAAATCCTGCTGCCTCCACAGGGGCCCTCTTTCAACTGATCTACGCAGCCCCGCCCCGTAAGGCTGTGCCCCGGGCTCGCTCAGTGCAAGCTGCCGCTGCCCGGGCGCTGGGCTGCTCTCTGGGTGTGTGACTTCCGGAGAGCCCAATGGCGGGGGAAGGGGGGCGATTACGACAGGCTCGAGCTCGGCACGAGCGCGGCCGGCCGGAGGAATTGTGGGTAAGCCAGTGCCCGAGCGGCAAAAGGAAAGGAAACGCAGAGAAGGGGGAAGGGGAGGGGAGAAGGTGAAAGGTCAGCGGCCGGGAGCCCCCGCGCTCTGCGCCCAAATGAATGGAAGGAGCTGCAGCGCTCGCAGCGTCGCACATTGTTATATGGACGCACATTCTAAGGGGCTCCGTGCATTCCACACCCCTAACTTTTTTTCCAGGGGAAGAGGTTGCCAACAATGCACTAAATTTGCTTAACAACAAGTCGGGGTTGTTTTCCTCTCACTCCTCCCATGCCGCTGTCCCTGACAATACAGTAAAGCAAGAATATAAACACCAAGCGTGTCTCCACTGCAAGAGGGGCAGGGAGCACACCGAAGGCTGCTGCTTAGGAAATCTCTTTGCTACTTTGGAGCTGTGTCTCCTCTGATCCGAGTGCTTTGCTTTCGGGGTGGGGGGGAAGGGAAGGTGTTAGTCTCCTCCACAACCAAAATCCAGTGTGGCAGCTCAATATGTCCTGTGTAAGGGGTTTGCTACGAAAATCGACTGGCAAAAATGCAAGATTTTGCTGCTCAGCCAAAAGCGAATTATATTTGTTTGCATACATCCCAACCCCTCTACTTTTATCCTTGCTGCAATACATTTGTGTTGTTTCTATGCAAGTTTTGCTTTCTCTCGTTTCCCTTCTTACTTCGCCAAGCATCACGGCGATCGTTACTGGAAACACATTTTTAAAAGGTTTTTTATCTTTTAATTCTAAAGTCCCACAAACTACAGTCTGTCTTTGAGGATCAATGAAATCCTAAGAAAGGTTCCTATCCACGCTCGTACAAACTAAACTTTGATCGCTGTTGGTTTGGGGGGGGACTGTCCGGTGAGTTTTTTAGATCCATGAAATTAACAACTTCTGCTTAACCGTGGCTGCTGTTACTGCTATTGTAAGGATCTTTACCAATAAACATGTTTTATTTACATTTCTGTGGAAGCTTTCTAAAAATTTCTAAAACTCAAATCCTTCTAACACAGTTTCTAAAGGCAAAATTAAGCGAGTCAACCCTCAGCCCCACACAATAAGCTTGGAATGGAGGAAGAAAATGTAAAGAGTTCGAATGGAGAAGTGGTTCCCTTTGTTCTTTCATTGTTTCTCCACGAACTGGCGTATACAAGGACAAACGCTTACCTTCTTTCCTTTTTGCTCCAAAAGCCAGACGTTCCCATCAGCCTTCAAATACACAATCCACCTTAGGAGTGACTACAAATATCGGGAGAGTTTGTATTCCATTATTTTTCGCTGTCTGCCTTTTTAGTGTAAGATTAAGTTGCCGAGCACGTTGTTGCAAGCTGTAGCCCCCCCGCCTTAGTGAATGGTCACGTTCAGGACCCTCCAAGTCCATCCTAATTCTGCCAGTAGAATCGAGGGCACTGGAGGTCTAAACTTTCAAAAAGGAAAGGGCCTACAAATATTTAGCAAACCTGTAAATAAACTCGGCTTTTTCAATACAGCCTGCTCCAAGTAAATAGAATAAAGTATTTTACACGTGAACATTTAATTTAAAAACTTTAAATTCAGCAGTGTTGATCTTTTAGACTAAATTAACTAAAAGGCAAATTGAGGTAAACTGCAATCAACAACACTGTATTCCGCAGCATTTGAAAGGCATGGACTTACAAAAATAAACAAAAACCTAATGTAGAAATATGGAATATTAAGTTTAAATGACAATGGTATCTGAAAGAAGTGTGTTCTCTAAAACATAATGGAGAATCATGGCTTTAAAAAGTGTCTCCCATGGCAAAATGATTGGTTTCCATTGTACTATTTTACTATAACATACAAAAAGAACCAGTTTGCTGATTTCTTTGTAATCCAATCAGTGTTTTGTACTCAACCTCAGAGGCAACACTCCCCCAAACCTTGTTTTAATCTGATTATGATGAGATTTCCTGATACAATGAATGTTTTAAATGATCCTTGTATCTTAGTAAATGGGATGAATTTTCAGCCTCCTGTTTCCAGGGTCCCAGATGCAAAGGAAACCGGCGCTGCGTGGAGACTAAGCTCCTTTGGGTTCTGGTCGGGGGTCGGAACCAGGAGACTATAGGCGGCCCCCTTCTCTCTCCCTCCCCCTTCCTCTATCGCCCATGGGCGCTGCATTAATTACTCCCAATTCCTTCGCCTATGGTTGGAGCTAGACACTTAAGCGCCTTTTAGCACTGTGTCTCCAAGCAGTTGGCCATTGCAAAATAAACAAATAAAAACTTAGGCGATCCAAATAAATTGTGGGACCGGGAGTGTGTGCTATCTGTGCTTTCACCACCAGCTTTTCCTAAATGGTATTCTGGAAGGCTTGTATTTCATAGAAAAATATTACAACAAACAAGGTAAATAGTGGCTGGTTGAGGGAAAATGACTTTTCTTTGATAGCGTTTAATTGGAATTGAAACATTCTAGAGCTGTAAACATTATTTATTCAGCACACATAAGCAGGCATTGTTTTATCACCATCATAATTATGGTGTCCTTTAAACTGGCTGATAGCAAGAGAGATAAGGGAATGTGCTTGTAGCTTCAGATTAAATCTCTCTCTCTCTCTCTCTTTCTCTCTCTCTCTCCAGTCTCCTTTCCCCGGGTCACCAGAATCCCCACAGTCCTTGGAGATGAGGAGCATCGGAAGATTGTGGCCTGGCCATCCCTTACGTCATAGAAGTGATTTGTGCCACATTGCTAATTTGGTGCAATCCATAACCTTCTGATCTCTTATGTTTGTAATTGCTTTTCAGCTTGTGGAATATGTTTTCTGGAGCCTAGTTCTTGAATATAGACATTACTATTGCTCACCTGTATGTAAGAAATGATCTTCCATAGTGTTTGTTGCATTACCTTTGTCTAATTAAAAATGCACATTTTAGGATCCTTTCAGAACAAAGCTTTGCCAAATCCTCTTTACATCCAAGGATTTGAAATTTTATAAAGGCTGCATTGAATTCAGGATGGGTCAAGGGGCAAAAAAAGGGTAGAAGGTCACTGCATATTGATTGTGGGTCAGTAGGCAACATGGCTTGTAGTATGTGTCCAAAAATCCCCTTAAAAACTGTGTTTAAAAAACAAGATTATCAGCATCTGCTATGTTATTTTGTGATTTTACTGAATTGCAAAAATTTCTGGTGTGTTAATGATAACATCTTCACAAAAAATAAAACTTTAAGAATGCTGAATAGAACTATATATTGCTGATTTGTTTACATGGAAATAACTTAGTTCTGATGTTTGATAACTTGTCATGATTTTTTTACTACGCGTTGGCAATTAATTGGCCCACATATTTGGATAATTTGATTGTGCCTTCTTATTTGTGATCTGTAAGAATTTGTGGTACATTTGGTTTACTTTAAAATAGCAGAAGAATTCTAGTATACTGTTCTTCAACCCTGTTAGTGGACTCTTCGTGATATCCTCTGTCTTCTGGCTGTATAGTCTTTGAGCACCATATACAGTGTATTTAAAATGCTTGAACAAGGTTATTGATCATTTAAATAATCTATTTCTTTATTAAAAGATGTGAAAATAAATTATGTATTTAATACTTCCAGTATGTGAGGATTGGTCTAGGGCTTAAAAATAACACTAAATAGTAATAATAAAGCTCTAATAATGTGGCAATCCTAGGATGAAAATGCACATGACCCCTTAGGAAAAAGAATTATCTTCATTAGTAAAACTAGTGCTGTAAATTGCTGTTGCATTTCACAACTAAGCATTTAAAGAAATTGTGTGTGCATTACTTTGCTCACGAAGGAAGAGGTCAGGCTGAATTGTAGTGGTATTTAAACACAATCAGACAATGACAATAAATCAAAACATAAAATAAAAAAGCATCTTAAATGTTATACACATTCTTTCCAAAGCAATATAATTAAATGTCTTTGCAAATCTATATATTTTTATACAACTTTTCAAACATGAAAGTAATCAGATAAATGTGAAAATGTGTTCAGTACTATATTATGAAAATTATTTTCTTTGTTTTCCACTAGATTTATCCTTTGATCAGAAAGCTTCAGAACTGAAATATAATCTCACTGTAGGATGTAGATTACACCTTACTCAAAGTGAAAAAGAGCACATTTGATTAATAAGATGTGTATTCAGACCTATATATTGTTGCATGTGCACATAGTTGGTAAAACAGGCATACTTCACCTTCTATTCTGAAGAAGTGTGAGGCAAACATCCATCTTTAGAATTGTGTTCATCTTTGATTTTAAGGGAGGCTGATATGGTCAACAAAATTACCAAGGAAATGTACAGCAGGATCCCACACACAAACACACACACACAGAGGGAGCAAGTAAATTATTGCATAAGTTTTAATATAATTGATAAAAGACACCTTTAATTTTTCCTGTGCATTCTTTTGGCTAGCATTCACATTAATAATCTAAACCATAAATGTTGGTAGCTATTGATTAGAATCCCCTGTGTGTGCAAATCCAGTTTCAAGACCCCTGCCTTTACAGGGTACGTGGGAGTGCACCGGCAAGGGCCTCTACCAGCTTTCTTTATAGTTATCTACCCCCAGTGTGCCTGAAGAAGATCCTAATATACAGTGTGTGCTGATGGCCATAAGAAAGCTGCCTGACAAAAAATGATGGAGAAGTGAAAGAAACAAAAGACTCTGTGTGTTATATGGGGAAAGATATGCAATTGAAAGTCCATGTATTTCTATGAGTGTGTGTGTGTGTGCTGTGAAAGAGAGAGAGAGAGAGAGAGAGAGTTAGTGTGTGGGTGTGAGAGAGAGAGATTTTGTCTAAGACTTCTGGCTCTCCCATTTAACATTGGCTCTGACTACATTCAGAAGCTCATGGCTATACCTTTTGGGGGGGCAGATTCGGGAACAGCTTCTTGTTTCGAACATTTGATAGAGCAAGTATTAAACAAACAAAAAAGCATATATTTTAAAAATAGTTGCTGAATCTCATTACCACACTGTTATCTGCAGTAAAAGTGTGTGTGTGTGTGTGTGTGTGTGTGTGTGTACTTAACAGCAACCGAGAACAACTAAACTACCTGGCAAAGAAATGACTTTTCAGCCCACCTTTTTTGTAATGTCTTCTTTAAAAGCTTTATCTGAGTTTAGTTTCTTTACTGTTTGAATCCACAGCCTTAACCTTAAAACAGGGGGAGGGGAATAGTGTGGTGGGGGTGGGAGTGGGAGTGCGAGCAGCATTAAAGTGCATCAGGAGGAATTTTTAAACGATCTCATTGTCTGTAGTTCTAGAAAGACTACGATGATTTCCTTTTAATGCTAGCAGCTGTTTTCCCTCGCAAGTTTACTTTCAGCGAGAGAATATAAAATGACGTCTCTTACGCAAATGAGAAAGGAAAATGTACGCTGATAAATCCAGATGCAATGCAAAAGAAGGCTTAACTCTGTGGATGGTATTAGCTGTGACGAGGCATTGTTCACTGCTGCCTCTTGGTTACGTTTAAAGGCTGAAATATCACGAGATCCATTCAATGATCCTTTTCTCATTCAAGGGACAAAATGTAATTTGCTGTAGCTCTGGTTTCTTGGATGGGAATACTATCCTTAGTATTTCAAAAGGAAGAGCTAGACGTGGTTTGTACACACATTGATTAAGTTGAAGAGCAGCGATTACATCTGTGCAGAGAGCAACAGTAGTCTAGGGGTGCCTTTGCAAATCTCAACCTTCTGAGTTGCAGACTCTCCTAAATAGACTTCCTTAATTTCCGGATGCACTTCTATACATTCCCGGTTCTCTCCAGAATTCCTGCGCAATTGAGAGGTTGTGTGTATTTTACCTTGTAACGCAAAACTACCGAACATTATTTTTAAAGCGATCCTTTTATTTATTACAGCTATACCTGATGGTGTAATACGAGATCCACTCACCATATTGCCAATCTATAGAATGGATAATGGAACTTTTGAATTAGAGGGGAAAAATTAGTCCCAGAAATACGAGCTGTTTTCTTAATCACACGGATATGTCTAATTTTGGATACGCAGTGAACTATTGCTGTATATAAGTGCTTGCGTTATATCCAGTTTTCAGTTGCAAACTGATTATAGGCGGATAGTTATTTTTGCAGCTTTTGACATGCAAACCGCAAACATCATTTTAACGCACGAAGGAAGAGGTTTGCTAACATTGCAACATTTTCGAAATCATTTGTGCCTCACTGAAGTATTTTAACGTCACCGCGAAGAGGTTAAGCCTCCTTGATGCTTCTTCAAAATGATTTTTAAAAGGGTTGGTACAAATGGAACAGCTAAATTCTGCAGAAGGCCTGCCCCAAACTGAACGTACAGACTGCAAACCAAAAGTCTCCTGGACCACTGAAGTATTCTACATCGTGTGCCAGCACTTTTTTGTTATTACGTAAAGCCTCTGGAAGCACCTTGGATATTTTACATTCTTTTTTCTCTACTTGAAGCAGTCAGCACACAAGAATCCTGATGTGGAGTTTGGGTCTCTAGGACATTTCAGCTTGTGATCCAGCACGGTTAATTGTGAAAAGTGTATACATTTCTGGCTTATCTATGCTTTGTTATGGGTCTGACGTGAGCCCACGTCCTCCTTCCCCTCCCCCAATATTACAGACAGAATTTCAGCTAAAGAGTTACAGTATTACGGTGCTGGAAACCTTGATATGCAGACAGCAAAAGACAAACTTAAGTCTCTGACTGTAGAAAGACAATTAAATAGAAGAGGAAAATCAAGAGAAACTCGAAAATGTAAGTATTCGATCTCGGTTTTTAACAACATAGCACTTAACTGTGGAGCTTCAAAAAGGGAAATACCAGGCTATTCTGCACATTTTCAATAAGCTTCATTTTCCACACAATGCAGAATAAACTATCAGTTTAAAATCATTACATTACCAAATTCCTTTCTCTCCATAGGCTAATACTCCTTTACATTCACATAATGGGCAAAACAGCAGCATTTGTCCAAAATAATCTAACCATATGTATAAAATGACAATAAAACCAATCAAATTCTACATCTGTAGCTAGCGATGAAGTCTGAGAGATCTGAGTGTAGCTGGGCTCAGATTGTTTAATAGAAAGATTTATATACTAACTGTATTATTTACTTTGGGAGGGGGCTTGGCAGTGTAAGGGTATGCTAATTAGCGGGAGATTTTTTTGGGGGGAAGGGGTGGAATATCAATTTTTATTGCATCACCTGTCAGGAGTGTCCAATCAGCGTTGGCTTTAGGGGAATTAATTGATGAAGGTGTCTCCGGACGAGCTCACTTCACTCTGTCATTTTATTTGTAGCTAAAGCAGCGGCGGGAATAGCAGCTGCATTTCTTTTCTCTTCCTCCCTTCACATTCCATTATCATAGTTCGCCAATGGAAAAGCAGGGAATGAAAGGGAGCAGGTACTGATCTGCAACAGCAACTTAGAGAAACACTTTGGCAAACCTGATTTTCAAACAAAAATATATCGAGATTGTAGTTTTACATGTTTTTTTTTCTAATTTTGTCTGAAGTTTGGCACTCCATTGACCAGGAATAACAGTCTTTGTTATTTTATTAGCAGGATGCCTTGAGACAAATACAGCATCTGGCTGAGGATTGTGTGTGGCTTTTTTTTTCTTTCTTTCGGCAAATGCTGGGAATAATTTAACTCACGAAATGGGAGACTTGAAGTCGGGTTTTGAAGAGGTGGATGGCGTGAGGCTCGGCTACCTCATCATTAAAGGAAAGCAAATGTTTGCACTCTCTCAGGTTTTTACAGACCTGCTTAAAAACATCCCGAGAACTACAGTGCACAAACGAATGGATCATTTAAAAGTAAAAAAGCATCACTGCGACCTGGAGGAGTTGAGGAAACTCAAAGCCATCAACTCCATCGCTTTCCATGCAGCCAAATGCACACTGATATCTAGAGAGGACGTCGAAGCTCTTTACACTTCCTGCAAAACGGAACGGGTCCTTAAGACAAAAAGGAGGAAAATAAGCCGGGCATTGTCAACTCCCGATCTTCAACCGCAGCACACAGCCACCGACCCTTACTCCAGCTTTTGGAAAGAGAACAAACTTTGGCTGGGTTTGAATGAATCCGCTCAGCCCCTGCCAATTAGAAGAAAAGCTTCGCGTCCCGGAGACACAGGCTTGCTACCGGCCTCTGATCTACCTCACATTTTTAGTAAATACACTGGCCACAGCTACCCAGAGATCGCGCGCTCGCCTTGCAAACACCCTTTAAACTATGAAACTGCCCCGGTCGTGGGCAACTATGTCACCTTTCACCCGGATCCCCCTTATTTTCGGAGCGTCCTGTGCAGCAAGCACCCGGCTGCCGCGGCTGCCGCGGCTGCGTATTATTCCCAGCCCGCCGCCGCCGCCATTGCTCAGACCAAGCTAGCGGCGGCGGCGGCGGCAGGGAGCCCGGTGGGTCTGACTTACAGATACAAAAGGAAAAGAGCCTGCGAGGCCGCCCCGAAGGACTGCTTATTAACCGCCCCCGGCAGCGCCAGGCGGCTCCTGATCGTGCCCCGGCCCTGCAAGCCCAGAGGAGCGGCGGCGGCGGCGGGCACGGCCGCTTGCTTGGAGCGATTTCACCTCGGCAATGGCTTTTGCACTTCTCAGCAGCCGCACGCAGGCAGCTTCCCCGAGAGCTACAGCAGCGACTCGGAGTCCAGCTCTTACTCCGACCACGCGGCCAACGACTCGGACTTCGGCTCCAGCCTCTCCAGCACCAGCAACTCCGTGTCCTCGGAGGAGGAGGAGGACGAAGAGGAGGAGGAGGGCAGCGGCCTCTCGGACTCCAGCGAGGTCAGCTCCGAGGAGGAGGATACGACCTCCGAGTCCGACTCCAGCTCAGTGTCCAGCCAGGTCTCGGTGCAAAGCATCCGCTTCAGGCGAACCAGTTTCTGCAGCCCCCCCAGCATGGCCCAGGCCAACTTCTTGTATCACTTGGCCGCGGCCGCCCCCAGCAAACCGCCAGCTTCCGAGGAGGCCGGTAGGCTCTCCGACCTCCAAAGTGCTCAGTGTGGTGTCAAATCGGAGTTGCCAGAGGAATGGAGTCATCAAAGCTGGGCACCCAAAGCACCTCCAGTGTGTTGCTCCGGCAGCCCTGGCAGTTGTTTTGCTGAGATAAGGGATGATAGGGTATCTGAGATCACATTCCCACACCCTGCATTTTCCAATAACGCAAAGAGTACTGACCTAACAATTAACTGTGCTGCAAAGGGGGCCTCTTCACCTAGCCCAAAGACAAACAATGCATTTCCACAACAAAGAATATTCCGAGAGGCAAGGAAATGCCTTCAAGCAACAACTACACACTGTGCACATAACAATACAATAGCTGCTAGGTTCTTAAATAATGATTCTTCATCAACAGCAGCAAATTCAGAAGAAGATTCCAAAATCCCTCATTGTATTGAATTTGCCACGGATTTGCCCTCTTTGCAAACTGATTGGGAGGGGGATGCTGCTCCTGCCACAGCAGCTGCTGAGCTTGAGTGCACTGATCCAGGCAATAAGACATTGCCATTCCTGCACAATATTAAAATCAAAATAGAGGATAGCAGTGCCAATGAAGAATATGAACCCGACCTTTCCAAACATAAGCTAAAGTGTGAGTGCAATGAGACTAAGGATGAGTTTAACAGTGTGACTGAGAGTAATAACCCGGACATTTTATTAACAGCCAAGGAAGATTCTGCATGCACTGAGAAAGAAACCACTTCCTTAAATGCGCTGACTCAGAGTCAGGTCCTTTCATGCACTTTAGGTACTCCAAAACCTGAGGATGGGGAGTATAAATTTGGAGCGAGGGTGAGAAAAAATTACAGGACATTGGTTTTGGGAAAGCGACCTGTACTGCAGACTCCTCCAGTCAAACCAAATTTGAAATCAGCTAGAAGCCCACGTCCTACAGGTAAAATTGAGACACATGAAGGAACACTGGATGATTTTACAGTTACCAATAGACGCAAAAGAGTAGCCAGCAATGTAGCATCAGCAGTGAAAAGGCCGTTTAATTTCATGGCAAATTTTCCCTGTCCACCGTCACTAATTATTGGCAATGATGGGGATTTGTTGCCAGCTTATTCCTTAAACACCACTAAGGATTCCCAACCACCTCACAAGGCCCATCCTGTATGGAAATGGCAGTTGGGCGGTTCTGCAATACCTCTTCCACCTAGCCACAAATTCAGGAAATTTAATTAATAAAATAGCTTGGAAAATATTTTCTTGGACCACCTTTACCGTTCTTTTGTTTTAAACTCGACAGGATGGTTTGTACAAACTCCTTAATGCTTTACACACTTTTGGAGTCCTGTTTGATCACATGAAGATAGAAATTGGATTACTATTTTCTTTTCCATTACCGGTTTTTGTTTGTTTGTTTGTTTGTCTGTCTGGGTAATTTTTACATTCCACAGAGTATTTCAGGCTAAAGACTCAACTTAAACTCAGTTATTATGGTAGAGCTGGAACACTTTACTTTTTAAATGCTAATAATGCACCGGTACCTCAATTCAACTGCTACAAATAAATGTCAAAAGGTTGAATAATAAATATTAGAATGAGCCATTAAATTTATGCACTAGATTTGGAAAATGGAAGTCTAACTGTTAATTCAGTTAAAGTTTGTTAAGTTACTTGGTTGCACAGTAAGGGTTCACTATAATTCAATGTGGCAGCAGACTCTACTTTTCGGGAGCTTTGTTTTCCAGAGTAGGGGTCTCTTTTTCCAAGAGCAGTTGTACTTACTGATATTTTCTATGGTTTGGAAAGGTTGGGGTTTGAGTACAGCTGGAGCATTGGAAAAGCTGCCTCATCTCAAAACTAGTCAATAAATATGGAATTCTATTTTTGGAAAAGGGTGTCTTTTTACTTGCACAGTCATTCTTTGCAATTGGAAAGACTTTTTGTTTCACCAACAGTCTTAAGGTTACTGTTACCCACTAATGTCAAACTTCAATTGTGGTCTGAACATGTCCCTCACAAACTTGCAAAGCAACTAAAATATTTGCCTGTATAGCGGTACAATTTATGATCTAGCCTCCTGCACTTGGTGGAGGAAATAGCAAAGCGGTAAATGCAACACAGAAAGTGAAATGTGAGGCCATAAGGGGAAAGAATACACAAAATGAGTATATCATGTTATTCATAGCTTTTTGGCACCAAAACTCAGGCATGTAAACCATAGTACACTTCACTGTTTTATCCACATCTCTTGAAACTTGAGTTTTGCAATACCATCCTATCTATGTAGCAGAAGCATTTCTACTGCACGTGACAATCAGAGGCAATTATCTATATTTGCACTTAATATCGAAATAGTTTAACAGGCAGACTTCTAGAGTCTAGCCCTTGGTAAAACATACTGGTGTAATATGTTGTGATGATGGAAGCAGTAAATCAAAATTATGAAAATGTGCACTGTTGAAAAGCATGCTTTAGCTTTATTTTCAATTAAAAACACTGTTTAAAACTTCCTGATTTCATACACTTCGACTTATTGCAGACTTGTCCATAATTTCCTCTTCATTTGAAAGTTTAAGGGTTATATTTGGAGGAAATATGCTTCCAGAGGTTAGTTTTGTTTTGTTTTTAAATAAAACTGTTATAAGCTCAATTTAAGGCAGTCCTGAACAATATAGAGTTTAATTTCGGGGAGGGAAATACGTTACAAAATGATAATAAAACAATTTGAAAAGTTTGGGATTTGAAAAGACAGTTACAATTTGGCTGCTGAATCAGCAGAATTTGAGATTAAACATTGCTAGGTTACTCTTTTTTTGTTTTACATTTTTTATTTACACTAGAGTTTTTCCAAATTACATTTTAGAGATTTCACCTCTTCATTAATTCCGGGAGAATAATTTATCATAAATCAAAAAAGAAAACAAAACAACAATGAAATGTTTATTGTGTGACTCAGAGTCAACATTTCTTATGGAAATTCACTGCCTATTTTTTAGCCTCTATCCTCTTTGTCTCTAAATATTCCAAGAGGACACTAGCTGCTTTCAGCTCTAGTCTATTTACTATATGCACATCGTGGTTTTCCTCTCATTGTAAAAGACCTCTTCTAAGAATACCTGCAGCCAAATATATTTAGAAAGGGTAAACAATTGCCTTTCAATTGATTCGCCCTTCCCCCACTTACACACATTTTAAATTGCCAATTGCAAAAGGTGCATTGCATACTTAACCTGATCTGCTGAAATTATGGTGGTCGTTAAAAATCTGTTTAATGGATGAAGTTGTTCTGAAATTAATGTTTACATTTGAGTGTTTGGAGCTGCATAAATTACAGGCTTATTTCCAGAAAAGTGTAAATACGTACAAAATTTATTGCTCAGGAAAATCCCCTGGCTCTTTGGGAAAGCAGTTTTTGTATGAAAAAAGGTCTCCCCTTGACAAAAAGCTACAAAGCTACAATATGCAAGCTTGAAACCTAAAATTTCACCTTATCTATTAAACAGTATATCATTTTAGAAGTAGCTTCCTCCATTGACCCTATGTACTTACAGTTACAAACATGTTGACTTGACCCTAACTTATAAATAGCAGAGACAATTTGTTTTGCCCTGTAACTAATATTTGGGGGAAGAAACAAAGTACAGATTTAGACCAAATAAATTCAATGGAGTTTAAAACATGAAATATGGCGCGCAGCTCTGACATTAGCTCAGTCTCCCTAAGTGAAGTAATAGTTTCAGTTTATGGAAGCTGGAGAATGAACACCACCCAAGCCAAATACATTCCTAAGTGTATCATTCCTGCAGACTTTTCTGCTGAAGTATGATGAATAAAGGCACCCGCAAAAGGCAAGAAGTTAAATTGTCACACGTGTACACCCCAGTTAAAGTGCAAGCCACCAGCAAGAATAATTGATTTTTTACTACTGTCAGAGTAATTTGCAGGTACAAGAATTTACTGAAAAGGGTATTCTTTCAAATTCCTGGTAGTTTAGTAGCTGTTTCTCATTGTGTTGTAATAATTCTTGCAAACACAGTTTATTATAATTTTAGACTTGATGATAATAATAAAATAAAATTACTGTTATAAATAGCACATTTGCCCCAATAACGGTAAGTTTTAATACTGAGCAAAACAAGGGGTTTCTAGCCAGCAAGATTATGATATTACTGCAATGTTTGTAGGAAAGAGAAACTAAAAGGTAACAGCTATGAAACTTGACAGTTTTCCAGTTCTTGATGTACACTGCATAAATCAATCAAATGAAATAAAATAATAAAATAATAATACCTAAATCACACCTAGGAGAGTACTTGAACTCGTCTGGAACATAATTCCAGAGATTTTGCTACAAGTAGAGGCTACTGATACATTTATTGGGAAGATTTCTGTGACCACATTGAAGACAAAGGAAGTTTTGGACTATGTCTGAGTCTCTAGAGCATTAAAAAAGGGAATGTGTAATGCCTTCAGCAACCAGATATATTGCCTTAAAAGATGTAACTTTCAGTTTACAACAATTTACTTTTAAAAGTGATTGTTCTATAATATACACTTACTTGACCATAGTGGAATAATCTCTTTGCTGGTTTATTTAAAACGCCACTATGTAGCAATAATGCAAAAATGGTGGTGTCTGTTGTATGAAGTTTGCTGTTCAATCATTCACTTGGTGATTTTCTACATGATCTCTGACCTTTTTTCCTATATCAGATTTAGTCGCCAATAAATTAAAGTTTCTGCAGAAATAAGAACAATGCTATCATGTTTTTGTTTGTTACACTTCATGTGTGTGAGTGGTTAAAACAGAGAGGGTGATGTAAAAATGGCATTTTTTCTACACACACCTCTAATCAGTGGTAACCTGTAAAAAAAATTGTAATAAATGTAATATACTAGAAAATATAAAATATCGAGAATGTGGTAAGTTGTGGTTTCTGCAGTTTAAATGGTTACTGAAAACAATATTTTTTCAGTTTAAAATATGTTTGGACATAACTTTCAAGTAAAAAAATACAATGTGTACAAATTAAAATAAATCCCTCAAAATAAGGACAAGGGGACTGGAATCTACCTTGCTAAATCAGATTTACAGAAAGGCGCCATTCACAAGGTTTTCGTACCCCTGGTATTTACCTTTACAATCATGTTTAAGAATGTATGGTTTAGCAGTTCCACGGTTGAATGTGGAGTTTCTTATGCCAGTGTAGCCAAATTGCATTCTGTTAAATAGAGGACACTTCCCAAACATTTTGGGAAAAGACACCTGGACATGCAGTTAACTGATTCTAGGCCTTCTATGTTGCATTTTTAACTGTTCTGATATAATTATTTGCTATGCCCTCACCCCCCACCTCCTCCTTTTCAATCTCAGGCGGCCTCACAAGTCCCAGCTTTAAAAGGCCCTAGATGTTTTGCATGAAGCTCTCACAATAGGGGTTGAGAGAATTGACAGTTTCAAAAACAAGGCGTTCTGTCCTTTCCAGATGCCGAGAAACCCTTTCCTGCATCATCTCTCGTTTGCTCTGCGCTGCTGGTGGCTTGATCCTTAGCATTGCAAATATACTGCAACAGCTGTGTTTGTAAACAGGGGTGGGGGGCAGTTTGGAGGGAGACAGCAACGCCTCGTTTTATACTTTGTAAATGAGCGTGAGGAGCCAGAGTGACCAATATCTCTGCTTCCTGGCGAGAGAGAAGAAGGAAGTTAGCCCTGAAGTCTGTGGTGTCGTGTGTGACATTAGGTTACTATAGTAGTTTGCCTTCAAAATAATCTGATTCATTGGCAGGAGAATGAGAGCCAAAGTTCCCCCCAGAAATGTAGCGGTGATGGTCTAGAGCCTCCCCGTCATGCCCTGCAGACACTTGGGGGAAACACTCGAAATGCCGCCATCTTGCTTTATGAAAAACAAATTCTTTGTGATTTTTCGCCCAGATCTCTCTCTCTCTCTCTTTCTCCTCTGTCTGTCTCTCATTTGTTACCAACTCATTAGCCGAGGCGGAACAGGAGCTCTTGCACTGCTAGCGGATGCTCGCAGGCTGCTGTTTGAGGGGGCCAGTGAACATTTCCCCCCATTTTGGTAGTTTTTCTGCTGATCGTCCATTTCACTTTGCTCTTCTTTTGTGTAATCTCTCCCTCTCTCTCTCTCTCTCACTCACTCATTCTCTCCCACACACACAGGCGCCGCACTAGTTTAATGTCTCTAACGTGTAATAGTTAACTGCCCCTAATGAAAACAGTTAAATGAGTGATGCGGCCAGCCAACACCGTCGCGAAAAGATAACAGATTACACTTCTTGCAGCCCCAATTGTTATTTGAGGTTTTAAAGAAATAAGGGAGAATGAGATTTCCCGTCCCTTAGTCCATCCTTAAATCAGATTGCAATGTGGAAAGCCGGAATTTGGGGTGATACAGATGGGAGCTCCGCAATACAAATAAAACAGCACACCCGAAAGAGAAAATCATAGTGGTGAGCTGCACAGGCAGGTCAAGGAGAAAAGTGCAACAAGATTGTTTACTCTGGTGTTTAAAATGCAGTTGCAGTTGTAAAGTGTGTGAAATTACGCGCTGGTCTCTTAAAGAGTGCCTAATTTATAGTAAATAGCCAGCCTTTGTAAATGGGTTTATTATGTTGTTTCTTGTTAATTGTTGAGAAAATCCCCATTGTTGAGTGTGAATGGCTTTATGAGCTAACCTGGTCATTGGTGCAATCAAGGGGCAGTAAATGGCCGCTCTGCTAATATGGCCTGTAGCAAAAGCTGGGATCAGCCATGGCGGAGCTGGTGACCTTTGAGAGATGCTGCAGGAGTAGGTCTCTGCTGGTAGAAAAAGATGATCTTTCAGATTTTAATTCACTCGAAGGTGCGCTTTGAAGGATGAGGGTTTCCGGAGCTAAAGGTAGAGCGGTGTGGAGGATCACGCAGGGCACTCCGGAAGGCACCCGGCCTGGTGGGAAACACTGCTCCTGTCAGTGGGAACTGCAGGGCCGCGTTCTCATGAGCAAAAATCGAACCCCTGGGTTAACACCAGCTCGTGTTAGAGGCCAATAGTGCCTCACACTTCACAACTGGGGCCTTTAAAATCTCCTCGCAGTTTTCAGCCAAGCTTCAGAGAACACCGAGGTCCTATATTCCTCCAAAAACGCGCCGCCAATGCAGAATATGCTAAGCAAATAATCAGGAAATGAAGAGACTGCACGTGCAACGTTCATCTCTCTCCTTTGTTAGCACAAACCACTAAAGGCTCACACACAACATCCATTGGAAACTTCACTACCGATGGACTCAGAAGGCAGTAGAAGAGAAGCACAACTCAAAGTGCTAATTGAAAAGTGGAGGGAAGATTGCTAAGTTTTGTTTTTAAAAGATTCCCCCCACTCCTCTGCTTTCCTTCCATTGCTGTGGTTTGGGGCTTGCTAGGAAAAATAAAGAAGGCAAGAGCGAGGGGGAGAAAACCCCGCAGATTCCAGTTTCTGATTGGAAAAAATCAGAATGTCCCCGATCTCCCCCGCGCGCTGTTTCAGGCACAGGGGAGCTCTCGAGGCAAACCCAGCGCGGTGGCTGTGGGTTGAAACGCTGGGCTGCTGCTGAGTGTTGTGGGGCAAGAGATTTTACTCTTCATTGCTTCCAAAGGCAACTGAAACCCGCCCTGCTCCCCGTGAAGGAAACACACACGATGCTGGTACATTTAAACTCACCACGAGTGCACGTGTCTGTATCTGGACTAATATAAATCGTGATGAAACATAAATTCCTCTCTAGAACTTACACAGGGCTTTCCTAAAACCTCGCTCGCTCGCGCTTTCTGATTTCGCTATTCGGAGAACTCCCCCTGGGTTTAAAGCACTTGTTTCACGGATTTGTGTTCAACCCACATTAACTTGCTGCGGCTCCTGCTCTGCTATTTTGTAAATTATGTTGCGTTTCTCTATACAGAAACTATGACGAGGGTGTTTTATATCAATCGATTTGCCTAAGTAACAAAACTCAGGCATTCCGGACAGAAGCTGTTCTCACATTTGAGTTTCATGATCCGTTCTGAATTGTAATGTTTACAATGAAAGATTATTCGCCAAATTCAAGTCTTTAGCTTCCAGTTTCATTAACACACTCGAAATAGATCTGTGGGGTTGTACAGTCCATTTCCCTCAAAACAGGATGTTTCCATCAAGCTGTATTTGGTTTTCCCCACAGATCACTACAAAGTTTAGTTGGGAAACACGTCCCAGAAACACGTGGAGATAAACCCTAGTCTTTAGCTGCCATTCGGGTCACTTCACATCTTTGTATTATATTTCAAACTGTCATTCCTCTTTCTTTATCTTTCTGGGACAACAAAAATGTACCTGTTTATAATTAAATACATCCATTCTAATAGCAGTGACACAATCCATTCCGGGAAGCATTAGCTATAAACTCTTTGTGTTACATCGAAGTGTTTGCTGTATTAGAGCCATTAATGTAGTGCTATTTTTATTACTAGTTACCGTGTTTGGTAAACAGAAATCTATTAGTTTTTTTAAATGTCATTGAATTACTGGGAATGAGCATAAATTGGCGAGCGGAATTTTTATTCCCCAAGCAAACCTGCCGCTTAGTTTGAATAAACCTAAGAACCAGAGAGAGCTGCAGGAAAGCGATTATACATACTCTAAAGAGCATATTTGCTGGGCTTTGCAGGCTCTTCGTACGTAAGTGTGTGTTGTTGGCGTTGAAGCTGCCACATAACCTGTGCCCGCACATGTTTGGTATTTACAGGCTTTGATATTGTATTCCGAAGATTTAGCAGTAAAAGGGCTGAGACAATTGCACAGCAGCAAAATCAGAAATTTGATCTAGCAAACTGCACGACAAAGAAGTTGCTCACTTTTGGAAATGCCCGTTTGCGTTTCCAGGTACATGACACTATTGGGAAAGAATCAGGGGTGGTAACGTGCTAGGGAATAACGTACAGTGTTCCAAACCATTTGAAAAACTTCGCTGTAGATGTTTGAAGTAGCATAGCATACAAATACCAATGGTTTCTGATAATTTCCAATTGTCATTTATTTGTACCCAGAAAAATCTATCAGGTTCACTTGAGGACATATAATATTCTTAGTCAATGATATGTTGAACAGAACTGAACACACGCTGTAAAATGATGCCTGGTCTTCCCATCTATGATCCCATCGTCACTTTTATATTTAAGGGAAGTTTATTATATAAATTATGGTCTCGGGTTTGCAATTTATAGCAACACAATTGTATTAATTAGTTTATTTCAGTATATTTATTAATAAAGAAACGCAAAATACCTTCACTTTTCAACAAGCCCACACAACATCGAACAAGTTTGCGCAAACTGACATTTATCTGTATATCGGTGTCAATGGAGATATACATAAATGCTATCCCAATAATGTGAGGGATGCCAGATTCTGAAATCTGTACGGAAGGCATTTTAAAGTAAGTTATACGTGTTGGAAATATTACTCTCTTCCTCAGGGATGGGGGTGGGTTTTTTGTTTCTAACTCTTGGGAAGCATGATGGCTCCTTTTATATAGTTTCTGTAACGTTTGTCCGATATGAAGAGGATACAGAGCAAGAACCCTTCTCCAACATGGTGAAGAGGTTCCAAAGGTCAGTCTCTCTCTCTCTCTCTCTCTCTCTCTCTCTGGATTTTATGTGAGCATTCCAGCAGTGAGCAGTATTTCCTCCAGAGCCCGAAGTACTGTAATTCTCAAATTTTATTTAAGAAGCTTTATGGACGTTTAGCTTAAGGAAGCTCGTCAGAGTATCTGAGAATAATTTTGAAACTTCCATGTGAACCCAAGAACAAATTACAAGGTGTTTTTTTAATCGATACTGTGCTCGTTGCAGGGGCTTCACACGACAAGCAAATCCAGCGTGCCTTTTAGCTTGAGACCACTGCTTGCGTTTGGTTATGACATGCGGGTTGCATCTAATTATATAAAAACGGGGAACTACGCATAACCAGATGATACTTTGTCTTAGAATCAAGCACACTGCTAATTGCAACGAGGGGGTTTTCATCGTAATTCAAGTGTTTCCACATCAATATTTAGCAGATTTGCCTCCACGAAGGAAGTTTTGATTTTCCTATTAACAATCAACAATGTTAATAGTATTGCGCCGATATTACAAAGATTAAAAATCTGCATCTCTAGCAATCCAGGACCATTGAAAATAAATGTACGTGTCGCGAAAGAAAGATTTTCTTTTAGGTTGAAGAAGATGCACTAGCTTGTCTTCATAGGTGCTGTAGAAGTCCAGTTAGACGTTACTGAACGTACCGGGGTGAATTTTTCTTCCCAGTAGGGATGTAAGGATATACGCACTTGAGCTCTGCTTTCATTTTGTTTTCAAATCTTTTGCCCACCGAAACATTCAAAGATCAAATCTGAACACAAAACACCAATCTGCATTCATTCGGAGAGTCATTCCAAAAAAACCTTCGGCATGGTTACAAAAAAAAAGCACATGTGTCTTTACT